TACAGTTCAAGAGAAAGAAACAAAATATAAATAAATTTCATAAGTTAGCTTCTGATAACCGTACGCTAATAATATTAGAAGTCAATCATACGAAGAATTATTATGTCCTCCGACCGGATGCAGTCGAACATCCGGTTGTAGACAAAATCGTGCCTATACCGAGGTGTATCGAGTTTTTTGAAAAAATTCGGTACACCTCGGTATAGGCACGATTTTACCTACAACTGGATGTTCCTCTGCATCCTTACACTGGACAAAATAAAAGTTCCAGCCATACGCATGAAACTCGCATTCTGTGTTTTCTCCTACGTTTTATCCTGCGTTCAGATGGAAGTTTCCTTTGCCTTCGTTATTTTCTTGTTTCTCTTTCATTGGTAGGAGACACACAGTACAAGTCTGGGATTTCAAGTATGAGATTTGGTGCACTAAAATCTATTGAAAATCACATACTTCCAAAAAAGCTACCAAAAATATGATGGACGGTGACATTTCTGTTGGAACAAATACATGAAAAGCTGTTAGAGGCCGACTTTTTTTTTTCCCTTCATTGCATTCTCATTTATTCCAATCTTGTTAATATTTACATTTTATAGGCTCATCATTTGCAACAAATGCTTCTCGAAATGAATCTGAACAATCATTATGATTTGGTTTGCATTTAATTAATTAGCTGTTTGGAATATATTTATATTTTATTGTTCCTCTTACGTACGTTGTTTAGGATAACCACTGCAACGATTTGCTTAATTAATATTTTAGCAATGGGGCTTAATTTGTGCTGTTCGTGATCTCTTTGATCTACTTTCATCGATCAAGAATTGGTTAAGTTAAGCAGAAACAATGATGATTGCTTAATTGGTTAAGTTAAGCAGAAGGTTGGAGAGAGAGAGAGAGAGAGAGAGAGAGAGAGAGAGAGAGAGAGAGAGAGAGAGATAGTGGAAATGCAAGGAATCAGACAACTATGGTAAACAGCGACAGATCACGTGATACACTGCCATCCTAATTATGAAGAACAAATTTATCAGAATATTTTAATATAAAATAATCAGATTAAGATTACAATAATTTAACTTATCGCATTCAACGTTAATTTCAATATAAAACAAACGATCTCGAAGTCCATTATAATATATTTCGTATATTATAATTTTGTTTGTTCAATCATTAATGTGGACTTAGAATTTAGTTTTATACATTAATATAGGAGTCGCAATATAAATTATTCTGTGCAGACATCGGATGGTTCGGAGATCAATCAGAACGCGCAATGTCATCCGGTATATAGCAGTATCGAGCACCGAGCAAAACAGTGATATATTGCGTTTTGATTGGTCTCCAAACACAATCCAATGTCCACAAAATAAATTTTCCAGTCTCAGGGCCTCACAAACAGGTTTCAATCTAATCAGCATGTAAAAAGTGCGAGTTGGCCAGCAACGAAGTAGAAAATATATGCGCGTTGTTCTTAAAAGTAAGCAATTTTTGCACTTAGAAGGGTTGAGATTGGCCTTTGGCTTTGAAAGTTATGTGATGAATGTCCCGATCTCTGAATTTTCTTTTTAATGCATGGAGTCAGTTCTTGACTAAGATAATTTGAAGAGTCGACTTCTTTTTCCTTTATTAGAGGGGGTGTAAGTGAGTTAAGAGCCGACTCTGTGATTTGGTTTGGATTTCGCTCGATAAATTGCACGTGAGTTGGTCTCACGCACTGAGCTAATGGGTTAATTTTAAGCCAATCTTGACTCAATTCGTTATCTCATTTCAAAAATATTGTTGTAAAATACTTAAAATATATTATTATTTAAGAGTTTAAGTATAATATTATAAAAAATATTTAAAAATTATTGTACTCTTCCTTTTATTCAAGTGTTTATTTATTATTTATCTTATAATTTCTATTTTTTAATCGTTTTATTCATTCCTTGAATTATTATCATTTTCCTTCTTTCAAAATAAACAAGTCAAATTATGAGCTAGTCCAAAATTGTAGATCGAATTAAACTCAAAGTTTGTGGGTTTTAACTAAAAAAAAAAAAATCATGCAATATTTTTTTTTAAGAAAAAAATTTTATTCCATGAAGACAAAAAGAAGTACAACAAGGGACAAAACAACATAAGACAGGAAGAAGAAACCGGATACAATAGAAGATTACAAAAGGGAGGATTAAACGAGAATATAAGTAGGCACAAAGGCCACCAGGCTCAGCATTGACAAAGACTATCAACCACTCCGAATTTAGACACGGACCATCCAAAGAAGTGAATGTGCAAAAATCCACCAAAAAGCTAACCAACCGCCAACAACGCTAAGAATAACCACCAAGAAAGGTTGCCAACTAGCCACGAATCCAGAGTGATGAGCCCGAGCCACATCATCGCCCCAAAAAACTAGCAATATCCGTATGACCAACAAAAGATACAACCAGAAAAGGAAACAAGAAGCCAAATAGGAGGAGACACAAAACCACCAACACGACATCCACCAAGCATACCAGAAAGAGCTATTTTTTGGATTTTCGCTTTGGACGTTTACCCACCCAAAAATGATCATCTCACAAAAGACCTTTATGAGCTAAAACTTACACTTCTTTAGCCTCAGAAGAAGAAGAAGAATAGTTTTTAAGCCAATCAGTTTGCAATCTAACACTATCCCCCGATCTGCCACCCACATGGGCAACCAAAGCATTAGAAGAGATTAAATTAACTGGGACAACAACAAGATGTCCATCCAACAGCACAGCAGGAGAAGAAACATTAGTGACCACATCACAAACAACCAAAGAATTACCCTCAGGCACAACAGTCAAAGCCAATTCCTCAGAAGAATCATCTCTCAACATCTCCTCATCCTTCCCACTAGAAGGACTAACCATCAAGTTCAAGCTACAGTTAACTTCATTCAACGACTAAAAAACGAGCACAGTAAGGACGACATCAACACTAGCGGAATTGAGAACAACCAAGTTATTACAGCCCACAGGAGTAGTAATCCCATCCAAAATAGGTGATTGGATATCCTCGACAACCATAGCATCAGCACTAGTGACAGAAGCATTAGGCAAACGTCTTAATGCCAAATCAGGCTTAGAAGCCTCATTAATAGCAAAGTTCAAAACCAAATCCTTAGACATATTAGAAACAACATTAATTACTTCATCAACAATATTAATAAAAGTATTATCACATACCACAACATTCCCAATCTCGGGACACAAAATTTGAGCTCCGTCCATAGCATCACAACAAATCAAATTTTCCACCTTATCACCCTCACCGTAAACATTTACATTTAACGTAATAAGAGTAATAGGAACAACATTTGACGGGGCAGTCTGAAGAGGACGGCTATCACCACTCAAATGCACTATACATTTATACGAAGCCAAAATGCAGGAAAAGTTTCCATTGACACATGCTGAATATAACCTAGGTTCTCAGGACCCAACCAAACTTTATCCGAATAAGGTTTGGTGATATCAAGCTCAACAAGCACACGAGCTACAGACGGTCTGGAATCCATGGAAGTAGCCGAATCAACTTTAAGAGGCCGATCATAAATCAATCCCAAACAAAAAAGGATACATGGAGAGAATAAATGAGAACTTAAATTAGAGAAGGAAACCCATATATGGATCACAGGCGACTCAACACCAACATCAACCAGAGGAGTAGACTACTTGGTTAACTTCATATAGCAATTCTGAACTAAGTAAGAACGATGACAGAAAATTCTACGTTAATCAAGGTCGTTGCTCAATTTGATCAAGACAATGAATAATTTAGTTTGGTCGGCTTGACTTGTTTTATGATAAGTTGTCAGTAAATAGATTGATATTTTTATGATAAAAAAATTACAAAATATTTTTCATAGTTATATTTATTGGTGACAGTTAAAAAAAAAAACAATAGTATTAGATGGCAGCACAATACAAGTTGAGTGTGCAGAATGTTTGAGAAGAAGAAAAACTTCAGGAAGACTTCAAACGGATAGGAAGCCAACTGACCAGGGAAGAGCCACGTCGTTCTGTGAGGCATAAACGAGCACCGCTGTGCTTGGAAGACAACACAACTGGGCTTGCCATATTAATAATAGTTGCATGCTCCATGTAATAATTGTGATTTTGAGGTTTTATGAGATAATTTGAAAAATATATTTCCTTAAGTGAATGGTATATCAAGACGAGCTGCGTGTTGAAAATCTAATTGATTCATAATATTTACTAAGGAGAGCTATATAGCAATTTTGACCGCAATTAAGATATAAGAACTATTAATTAAGATTTCATTTTGGATTCTTTCTTTGTTATTTTATAAAATAATTTTCTAGTAACTCTTTTTTTTTTTACTAAAACATTTTTTATTAAGCAGCAAGAATGCTGCCCCAAATGAAACCTAACACTGTTGACGTTGTTAAGCAGCAATTTTTATTGTCGTAAAATATCAAAATTAGCAGGTAATTTAATATTGCTGCTATATGTGCTGTTTTAACTACTAGATTATAATAGTGATTGATTAAAATATATGATTCTTTTAAGAAAATAATTTTAAATCACATATTTTATAATTTATTGCTGGTTATTCCAAACAAAATTTTTATTTCAAAAATTTTAAAACATGACAAATATATATTTATTTCAAGTAAGAAAAAAAATTAAATTAATTGAAAAAAACAATAACTTTTAATCTAATCCTATTTTTGCACTTTAATTTTGAACTTGTAATTAATATTCAAAGCGTATGAATTATATATTTATTACGAACTAAAAATCATAAAGTTTTAAAATCTTGCACAATTGTTGAACTTTTATTATTATCATTAGTACAAAATTAATTACCCCTCAAAATTAATTTGCTTAAAATTAAGAAATTAAACTCTGAACTCGGTCACACCGCCCACAGGCCACAACACGTTTTGGCCCTCTATATATTTCCCTGCGATACCTTTTCTAAAGCGTAGGCTAATCGCTCTCTCTCTCCCACAACTTTCACGTTCTATTTCTGCATCCAATAAACCATTAACCCAACATGCTCAAACTCTTCAAGTCCTTCTCCGACTGCTGGTGCGGAGCCACCTTCGCCGGCGATTCAAAGAAGAAAACCCTCCCAGTGCGGCGCGTCGCCGCCATCGAAAGCTCGCCGCAGCGGATCTCGTTATCCAATTTCAGCAACTCAACGACTTCTTTAACACCAGAGGACCTCTCTCTCTCATTACCTGGCTCCGACCTCCATATCTTCAGCATGGAAGAACTGAAGGCCATCACAAGAGGCTTCTCCACGAGCAACTTTATTGGTAGCGGCGGGTTCGGTCCGGTCTACCGAGGGTCGGTCGACGAGAAGCTGCGGCCCGGTCTGACGCCGCAGTCAGTGGCCGTTAAGCTTTTAGACCTCGAAGGGTCGCAAGGACACAGGGAATGGCTGGTGAGGATGCACTACATAACACATACTAATTTCGAAAGATTATACTAATTAAACACAATTTGTGTTCTTAATTATCTGATTTAAATAATTTTGATTAGGCGGAAGTGATATTTCTTGGGCAATTAAAGCACCAAAATCTGGTAAAATTGATTGGATACAGCTACGAGGAAAAGCATCGGCTTCTGGTGTATGAGTACATGTCAAAGGGGAGTTTGGAGAATCATCTCTTTAAGAGTAAGCCCTCCAGCATTTATTTTATTTCTCTAAGATTGCAGAGATACAGTAATGGCGTTTTTAATTTTGATAAATATTTTGAGTTGAAAATATAAAGGGAATAGAAAGACAAAGTAGTTTCGAAGTAGAGTTGGTGCGGAGAGTAAATATATGGTGGTGGTTTAGGTATATAAAGACTTTATTCAGGTTAGTTGAACCCCCCCTAAAGCAAGCTGTTGTATGATGTTACATGTCAAAGTCTACGGTCACTGTTAATGGAGCTTATTTAAAAAAAAAGCATATTATTATATTTTAACTTTATCCATTATAAAATTAATAATTTATTAAGAATTATATTTCAAAAGAGCGCATGCAAGGAAACTTGCAGACTGTATGTAATTTTTATATATTAAAATTCTAAATAAAGTAATTGTGATATGAATAAAAATATAAATTTTATTATTATTTTTTATGACAAAAGTGTTAGTGTTATAAATAATTAAATTACGGGCAGGATATGAATATTTTTTCCTTTTAATTTCGAGATAATTCATTCTCTATCTACATTATCATTCATTATACTATATTGTGCATTTACGAAAAGATTAAACTCTTCAAATATTATAAAGTATAGATAGATTAAAATTGTAGAAATTTGAGTTGATGATATCGAGTTGAGTTTGAGCAACTTTTGGCTCAACTTAAGATTAAAAATTTTAGTTGTAGTTTCAATATTCAATTGAAATTATTCAAAATAACAACAACATCAAATAAGATGTGAAATGATTGCATGAATATAAATTTTAGTTGAGCAACTTTTGGCCCAAGTGGATGTGAAATGGATTCTAATTGGAGTACATTCGAAACCGATTACAATTTTGAATATGGAATGAACCTCAACAACAATGTCAACAACATTAAGCCTTTGCCCCATTACATGGGATCAGCTACATTAGTCGGCTACATGAATCCTTAAAGTCAAATTATTGCTTAAATCTAATAAAGAAAGATAATTTCTAATATTTTCTAACCAAGTTTTATTAGTTCAACATTTAACTTCCTTAATATAAGTTAAATCTAGCTAATACCTCTATTTTCCTAACCGGGTCAACGGAAAGCCGTCGAATAATCATGTCGTTGTCAGATCCCAAGTCTTATATGAGAAAAATGGAGGGTTGCATTAGGTAGTCGAAAGTCAGCATAAACTTGTTGAATAATCATGATATGAAACGAAACTCAACATTGAATCAAATCAGCTGAAATTATTCAAAACTGAGTCAAATTTCAAAAAATTCTCTCGCTAATTTCCAGTTTTGAGCTTATCAAAGCTGCTATAGTAGAAAATATCATATTGATCCTCTGATTATTAATTCCTATAGAATATACCTATACCTACTAACTATTTTATAGAAAAAATATATAATCCTCAGCTAAGAATGACTCTTCAGTACAAATAAAATTCAACAAATTAACCTTCAACCACAAGCAAGCTATTATATTGTAACCAATTCCCATATAGAATAATACAAAGATTCACGTTTCAATTAACATGGTAAGCAAGTAACGACTATTGTACACGAGGGGCAGTTTTCTTTCAGCTTGTGACAAGTCCTGACGCATTTCTTCATCATTTTTAAATGCTCTGCTGACTTTATTTATGCTTACGGTCCCAAGTTGTGTATAACACAGTTTAAACATTTAATTAGGTGTAAATTTTTGTTAATTAGTTGACCTAAATCTTTTTAACTTATGATTAATTGCAGACGTATTCGTTTCGCTGCCTTGGTTGACAAGGTTAAAGATAGCAGTTGGAGCTGCCAAGGGTCTGGCCTTCCTGCATGAGGCTGACAAACCAGTAATTTATCGAGATTTCAAGGCATCTAACATACTGTTAGATGAGGTAATTTATTACTCTTTCTACTTTGTTAGAAAGTTAAATAATTAGATCGGTATTACTAATGATAATTAAAGCATCGTTTGGGACGCTTAATTTCGCCTTTTCAGTTTTGAAACGTCAAAAATGATTTTAAAGAACTATATTTTTGTAATGTTTTCAAAAGCTTTATGATATTAACTTCTCCGTTAGAAAACTCTGTTTTCGGGTGGAACCCCCTTGAACCCAGGGGGTCAATTGGCCCCACTAAAAGTTAAATTTTTATTTATTATATGATTCTTTAGTTAATTTGTCCCCCTCAATCTTTTTTTAGTCTTTATTATAAAGTTTTTAGGCAATTGCCTCCCATAACAGTTTAAAACTACGATGATATTGCCCAAAACCTAATTAAACACATTGTATAAAAGTGTTATTGTTAGGGATCGATAAACTAAATATAAAGAGAAAATAGTAAATCAAAATTTGTTCCGGGGGCACTGCCCCTTGACCCCGCCCTGATTTGGATGATGGCAGGTCGAACTAGGCCAGGCGGTATTGTCCTCTTGGACTCTTGATATATCTGCTAACAATTACTTATAAGTTTATCCATCTAGAAAATTATGTCTGATTTGCAAACAATATTTTTAAAACTACTTTTTAGAAAAAGTACAAAGCCTAAGTCAAAATCCTAAATAGCCTGCTCCCATTGGCGAGTTTTTAGCCAAAGTGGCAAGTGGATTAGGAAGAGCAGCTGGTCCTCTGAGAGTGACGCATGCCAGATTAATCAAGGCATATAAGTTTTAATTGAGGAACTTTCTAACATTACTTAATGTTTTCCCAGCTAATTAATTACCATAAGTATATACCATGCTTGTCAGCTATGACATCATCAGTAAATAAATAGATTTGTAAGGTCGATCGTCATTGGTTATTATTCTTGCCTTCTTGGCTTGTACCGTAAGCCGTAGCTGTTGATCCTCAAAGTTTTCTTTTAGCGCAAGGAAACGAAAAAAACAGAGAGTTTATTTAGAATATTATTCAGGACTAAAAAATTTTAGATTATATTTTCCTAAAATCAACATAACAATCAAATACTTGGACGAATATGATGATCTTAAAGATATCATAAATTATAAATTAATTCTAGCATAAAATCTAGGTATATTTGAGACAGTTTTATTGCTGTTTTGATTTCAGACAATAGTTATAGGCATCGTTTGTGACGGCTTTCTTACTACTTCTTAAAGCAGTTTTCTAGTTTAAAAAAATTAATTTTTGTACTATAAAGCTATTTTAAGAAGCAGTAAAAAAGCCGTCTAAAAAAAAGTCATAATTTTGAATGGCTAATACTTTTTAGTTGCTTTCTTATAGTTTTTTAAAAAGTTATGTGATGAAAAGATTCTTTGTATAGTTAAAATTATTAAGCTATTTTCCCCAAAATAACTTTATAATCAACTATATAAAAAATTGTAACCATTTCAAATATACCCTAAATCAAATCTCAAAATGCAAGATTACACGTGCCTCCAATCACTAATATTTATGTCATTAAGACTTCATTTATAAAGACTTTCTTACTACTTCTTAAAATAACTTTCTTTAAGAAACAGTAAAAAAACCGTCATAAACATTTCATCTCAACATTATTTACCTTTTTGTTTAGAAAGTATCTTATCTTAACCAATCTTCAAATAAATGGTGTGTTTCATAGAATGAGTTTGGAGGCATAGCAATAAAAAAATTTGAATTTTTTTTTGACTCACATCACGTTCTTTCTGCCCATAAAAAAAAAAGTTTTTTTTTTTTAAAGCAAACGGGAAGTTTTAAAATGTTTTCTACGTTTTGCTATGGTGGAGAGATTGAACCAGAGCTCGATTCATTCAAAAAAATCAAACGGTTACATTTTACAAGAAACTAATAGATATAAGTCTTAGTTCTAAATTATATAATTAATATCGCTAACAAATTATTCTAATAAAAAAATTTGGATTTTTTATTCACCAGGACTACAATGCAAAGCTCTCAGATTTTGGTTTGGCAAAGGACGGCCCCGAAGGCGATGAAACACATGTCACAACACGTGTTATGGGAACTCGTGGTTACGCAGCTCCAGAGTACATCATGACTGGTAAGTGCCTTCATATAATCTATATTTTATTACTACAACAACAACATTAAGATTTTATCCACTATGTGGGATTAGTTACATCGAATCTTTTTGATCTATCTATACTTTTCTTAATATTAGTCAAATATAATACATCTATTTTCTTAATCGGGTCATCTGAAGGCCGCTGTTTTATGTAACCAACCCATCTAAAGTGACTCTCTCCAATCTTATGTATCTTTCATTGAAGCTAATCCAACCTCTTCATGTATATTTTCATTTCATATCATGTCTCTAAGAATAAAGCCACTCATCCACCTGAACATCCTCATCTTTGCAACACTCGACTTTATATTATGCTTCTCTTTTAATGGCTAACATTCTACAGAATAAATCATTATAGGTCTCACAGCCATCTTATAGAATTTTCCGGAGAGACTTTTTCTATCAGTAATCTAAATTTAATTGAATGTATAAAAAAAAAAAAAAAACGTTTCTCGTCAAACTTATAAGTCACTGAAAGAAGCTTTGTTTTAATGCTTTGTACAGGCCATCTCACTGCAAAGAGCGATGTCTACAGTTTCGGTGTTGTGCTGCTCGAGTTGCTTACAGGACGATGCTCGGTGGACAAAAGTAGGCCAAACAGGGAGCAGAATCTTGTCGGATGGGCGAAGCATTACTTGTTTAATCCAAATAAAGTTGATCGTATAATGGACCCAAGACTCGACGGACAATATTCAACTAAAGGAGCCCAAATGGCATCGAAAATAGCCCACCAATGCTTATGCCATAGCCCAAAATCAAGGCCCGATATGAAAGCCGTTGTCGAAGCCCTCGAGCCTCTGTTGGACCTAAAGGATATACCCATGGGCCCATTTGTATACACAGTGGTGACTGAAAATAGAGGAGGAGAAGTGAGGGAGAAAGTAGTACAGAAGAACGAGGAGAGTAGTGAGAGAAAGGAGAAGGGAGAAGTGAAAGAAAGATGGGAAAAGAAAAGTTGTTGGGCACAGACACAAGATAAAGTTTTCGCAGTCGGGCGGGCAATCTGATACAGCACTTTACAAGGTTTACAGGCCGAGCAACACACAGAGGAAGTTGACACCTCCTGAGAAATAATTAATGGGAGATAGAAATTAAATTTTGTAGTTATAAATATGATTTTGTGATGTGGCGTAAGAGACCTTGTCATGATCATTGATTTTGTTAATTACTGTGGAAGTGAAACAAATATATATATAAGGAAATTATGTGAATATTGTGTGATAAGGAAATAATTTTCTTGATTTTATTGGTAGAAAAATTTTTTTTGGACAAATCTGCACACACATGCACAAATTTCAAACCTAAAACTTCTTGGTTAGTAGTCAAAGATCTCAACCAACAGATCAAGATGAGGTACGCTATTGCTGGAATTAGATATTGCTTTGTAATTGTTTGGTTGACACCGGCCAGGTAGGGGCTCGACGAATCCACCACCTAAGAATCACTCTTAGGATACAGGAAACACATGAGACTAAACTCACAACATATTCATATCTCAAAATCTATCCTTATTACAAGACATTGACTTATATTTATAGACTTCAGGTAGTCACATAATAGGCTACACAAGAAATAGAGCTACACCAATCACTAACAAGAAAATACAATTTATTTAAAGGGACGCTCCAGCGTCATGCGTCATTGGTTAGCTGGAAAATAAATGCAAAATAAAATGAATTATAATGTAAAAGGTATGCAATATATTTAAAATATTTGGAATTATTTAATTAGGTGAGTAAAATTAAGTCATTTTCATGATTACTATCAAACAAATATATAAGGAAATTATGTGAATATTATATGAAATGATAAAAAAATTCCTGATTTTATTTTTGGAATTAGATAATGCTTAGGGGATGTATTGTTTGTTGGAAAAAAAAAAAAAGAGTGAAATAAAATATAATTTAAAAGAAATGTAATATATTTGACATGTTTGAAATTATTTGAATAAGTATAAAATAAATATACATGATTATTTTTTTGTTTGACTTGAAGTAAAAATAACCTAACAATTGTGATGGTCGGTGGCCAACTAGCGAAGGCAGGAGGTCGCAGGCGTTGGACATCTTACGGCGATGACGACTACATTGAAGTTAACTTGTGATGAAAAGAAATTCAATAAAAACAAGCGAGTTCAAAGTACTTTAAAAAATTGAACTACAAAGTGAAATGAATTCATCAAAGTTTTACTTTGTATTTATTTTTCATCAAATCAAACATAAAAATTTTCAAATCCCCACATTTAAAAACTTCATATTTCTTTTTCAGCAAATAAACCAGCCCCTTAATAAGATCAATTGCCATTATCCAGACCACAAAGAAATAGCTCAAAATAATCGTTATGTGTATAGACTTCATTTTCATTTTATTTAGTTTACTCATGTTAGGTCACACGCATAATTGATCAAGCTTAATCACTAAAGGCTCGGCGAGGAACAATTATTACGTCCGGTGACCGGACGTAGCTCTACTTTCGGTCACCACTGAGTTACTCGGTATTTGCTCGGTATTGCTTGGCAATAACGAAAAATTCCGCTATGTGAAGACCAATACTGAGTAATACCGAGCAATACCGAGTAATACCAAGTTTTCTAATTAAAACTCGGTATTGCTCGGTATTTGTCTTCACATAATGGTATTTCTCGTCATTGCCGAGCAAAATTGACAAATACGTGATTTTGTGCATGCTACGTGGCACGATCTCAGTACCGGCCGAACGTAGCTTTACGTCCGGTCACCAGACCAAATAAAAGTTCCTCGGCGATGCCGCACAATAACTTTTTTTTTTTAAAACCAAAAAGGAACTTATATTAAAAACTAATAAAAAGAAAATACAACAGTTGGAGAAAAGAAAGCAGAAAGAAGAGACCACCATTAAAAAGATACAGACACAATAAAACAGTAAAATAGAATCCCACAAGAGGGCTCAGTAGACAGCCGAGACTCCCAGCATTCTCGAGAGCGCAAGGACCATCCAGAAAGGGTGAGAATCACCAACGGTTGCCACAGGGTAGCCAACGAGGACACGAGCCCCAGCAACATCATCGCCCCGCAATCTCCAATCCCAGCAAAGAGCAATCCGTAAAACCGCAAAAGACAAACCAAGTTGGAATCGAATTATCTTCTTCTCCCTCCTCTATTCCAAAATTTACCACGAGAAACTAACTTAATAGGAAGATTACGAACCACTTTAACCTCATTACCAGGGTCTGAATATGACTCAGTATCAGATTCATATTCAGACGAATTATCCAACCAATCACCATTGGACATAACATCCACTCCATCACCCACCTGATACTTCAAATTTTGGGATGCCATTAAGTTTACTGGAACATTAACCAAATTTTGAGAATTGTCCAAAATGCCTTGCACCTCCGAATTAACTGCCTGACCACACACATTTGGCTCCACAACATCCAAAACAGGCGAACCGCCAGACCCCCTACCACCCTCGACAGGAATAGTCGCAGCATTAACAGGAGCAGAAACCAACTCCGGCCCCAGAACAACCGCCGAAGAGTCCACAATCACATCCGTAGAACCAAAGCCGTCCAGCAAACACGAAGGAATAAAAGGAATGGCATTATGAGACAACAACGTATCAGCAGCTTCCGACAAATTTACACCAACATCAAGCACTGACTGAACAACAACAGCCGGGCTAGTACCATTAATAACAGCCGCACAATAACTTCATTCTCTTTCAATTGGTACAATTTCACAAGTGCAAGGGATATATATATATAAACTTAAAGATAAAATCATGTTGTTATCGTCAATTAACTTTAATGTATTTAGTGAATTTAAATATATTAATGTTTTTTACAAGCAACTGAATTAAATTAATTATTTCATGTTATATCATAAATCTAACATATTTAGAATATTTTCTGATGACTGATACTAAGACTTGCAAATAAAAATACAGATTGTCACTTCTTTCGGATGTGAGGCAAGGCACCCCGGAAAACGAGGCCAGCGAAGACGTATGCAAGTAGGAGACGCTTGTGAGCCTCAGAGATGTAGGCGAGCCTGAGAAGGAAGCTAGCAGCGCAGAGATGTACGTGCGCGATGCCTGTTGAGACGGACGACGGATTGCGGGAGCTAGAGCGCGAGTGAGGATTAATCGATGGAGATTACAAAGGGAAAGAGTTTGAGGGAGACGGAGATTACAAAGGGAAGGAGCTCACAGGAGATTAGTAGTCAGGGAGGTTACAAGCCACGGTTTATACCGCTTCTAAAAAACTTAAAAACCCATTTAGCAGTGGTTATAAAAATGCTGTTATTAAGCGCGGTCAAAAATAACATTTTTCTATAATGTGTATAGAAGGATCTGTTTTTTCAAGTCCCCCGACTACACACTTCCAAATGACTTAAATGAAAGAATCATAAATTTGCCAAACTAACCTTGCTCACAATTAAAAAATGATAAAATAGTTGTTTAATCCTGATTAAGATAATTAAAGAATTAGATTAATTAAACTCACACATACATCACATTTGTAACAATAGATCCAAAGTTTTCTATTATATGATTTTAGAGCAATTAAGAATAAATTAGGCTATTAGCTAGACAGGAGAGGCTACCATGGCTATAAGTGTATACTGAATATTATACTCTGCCTAAAAGTGTATATTGATTTTTGCATAGAACTATATAAGTTGATATAATTAGAATATACAATGTTTAACATTTATAGCAGCAAAATCTGAACAATTAAATACGATAAAAACTTGAAGTTTCTAGGTATGGAACACTAGATTACCAAATCTCCTCTTAAAACTTGCAAAAGATAATCAATTATGACTGCACATCAAAAGTTCATCTCTATAACAATCAAATGATATGATATCACTCTAATCTTATAAAACATATGAACAATGCCGCTAGAGAAGTTCGTGTAGAAAGATGATTTCTAATTCATCTCATCAGCCAATTTAGATGTAATTTACTCTCACAGCTCTATCGTCTCCTCAGCACCTTCGCAATTGTGTGCCTCATGATATGTTACATCTCCTTCGTTACCTAATAATGATTGGTCATTTAAATACTCATACACTTTTGTAGGTATATATGATTGATCTCTATCGCAAACATTGAATTCTGAATCATATCGAGAGGGATGACACTATATGTAGTAATGTAATGCCATTGAGAAATACCAACTGATAGTCTTAGTTGAGTGTTAAAATTGCGCACATGTTGACCATTTTGATTTATTATGCAATAAAATATATAAAGTGATCACGAATACTTCTCTAGTTGTTGTCTTTAACAATCCATGCATGAGATCTACAAAAATTGTTTGAGACATACAAAACATATTATGAAATCTCGTTTGATGACCTTGTAGTTGCTCTCCAATCCATTTGTCTCCTCTTTACGACAAGGTCAGGCATGATGTCTTGCAAATATATATTTCATAATACTCATTTATAAGGCATAAAGCCGCAAGTATAATTTTCTTGAGTTTTGCAATATCGGTGACTCATTTGTATTCCCATTCATTCCATTTCTGCATAGAGAATAGTAAGCATGAATAGCATGTTTGTATAAGTAAAACTTATGAAACCCAAAATGAAAAATATAAAAAATATTCATTTATTCATAACGAACTTACATTTAAGATCTGAACCTATAGATATAGACAACATATTAAATTTAAATAATATGAAGATAACATATTAAATTTAACTAATATGAAGATAACAGTACTGAGTTCTTTTTTGCTTTTAAACAAAACTCTAGAAATGTTCTTCCCTGCATCTATTCATTCTTTTTTTGATCCCTTTGGATTACTACCTATGCATTGATATCTAAATGCTTAACAATAATAAAAATCACTGAGGACAAACAATAGGTGTGCTTTTCTTCATTAACATCCTTTCAAAAACTTTATGCCATAAACCTTTCATATAATTCAGTTTTCCTTACAAGAATAACAATCACTGAGGACAAACAATAAGGGTATAATTTACTTTTCCTTTCATGTAATCGAAGAAAAACGAAACCTTTAGCAAATACAAGAAATGTTAAAGAAAAAAGAGAAGAAAGAACGATTCAAAGCAGGAGTGGCAAATACAAAGTACTTCTCATGATAATTTGATTGCCAAAAGCAGCATTAACAGCAGCAGCAGCAGCATCAACATTATATATCAGATTCCATAACCAAGCAAT